GCACTGGGTGACATGTTCCTTCACACACTGTAGTTTATTTTGACTCTGTCCCACCCACACTGTCCTCCTGCCCCAAATAGAGCACCAAATGTGGATTAATCCACCACTGAAAATAGTCCCCAATAAATGCACTATTTCTTCCTTTTTGTTTGATAAAAACTACTGTGAGCAGTCTTTTTTTAAACATCAAACTATATATTTGTGAGCTATGAAAGAAACCCACTTTAAGAAACAAAGGAAACAGAAGCTACCATAAAGAGAGGCTGGGAGTTTGGCTTGCTATATTGTACATATAATGTTATCACTGAAAGCATTTAAAACACAGACCCAATTATAAAGAAAACTACACTGTCCAGAACAGCGTTGATGCTAATCATGAGCTTTAGCCTCAGAAATGTACGTGTAATGAGTTCAAACATCTAACTGACGATGAAGTTTCTGTTGAATTGTTGAGTTGACACCTGGGATAGATTTGGAGACAACTCAAAGACATTCATCTGTGCACAGTGTGCAAAAATAATGACATAACTGAGACATCCTGTTTCTTTGAGAAAGATAAACCTTTTTTAACAGAGGTTCATAAGCTTTATACACATTCTGGTGTTAACAAACTGTGTTAAATATCAGTGGATCTTCAGGTTTATCTTCTGGAGCATCTGGAAATTGAATATGCTAATTGTGCTTTCACTGTGTTTAGCATTTTACAACCAAGTGGAACAGACTTTATCCGTCACACATACATTACTTTGTTTTATCGATACTTTAGCATCAAATCATAAAGCCAAAATCTGTTTATAAACCACTGTACATTAATGGTTTCACAGGAGGACACTTGACAGTTTTGATGGATTTTTCTCAAAGAAATGTCTTTCTTTGCCTTGCTCAGAAGGTCTTTCAAACTTTTTTTGTACATCGTTGTCTGAACGAAGGCTGCCTGATGCTGAACAATCATTTATGGTTATTACTCTTCAAGTACTTCTTATGTGTTATTACGTTGGACTGCTTGGCAGTCAGTGTTTTCCTGTTCTGGCTGTACAGCTTTATTAACTTTCTTATCTTGATGTCCATGATTGCCTTTCTTTGATCCTCCATAATGTTGCCGCAAATTACAAA